TTTAGAATTTTCAATTTTTCGAGATTACCATTATCCGATTTTTTTTTATTTTTTTGTTTTACATTTTATATTTAATCTTTCAGGTTTACGTTTTGCAATTTTTCGGTTTTACAATTGTCCGATTTAATTTTTTTGGATTTCTGGATTTTCATTTTTCAATTTTCAGTAAATTTTTAAGTTCTCGATTTTTAATTTTATTTTCCAATTGTTACTTAATTTTCAATTTCCCATTTCTATTTTATAATTTTCTCTTTTTTCGATTAATCCATTTTTGAATGATTAAAAAATTTTTTTTCCGTTTCTCATTTTATGATTTCAATTTCCCGGTTTTTTAGTTTTTCTTTTTTCAATTTATTGATTTGTCAATTTTTTGATTCTACAAATGCCCGAACTTCCAATCTTAGTTTCGCAATTTTTCGATGATACAATTATCCGATTCTTCAACAATTTTTTGGTTTTTGGATTTTTCATTTTTCAATTTTTAGTTAATTTCAAGTTCTCGATTTTTCAATTTTTTCGGTTTCTGATTCTGTTTTTCAATTTTCTTTCCTCCATTTTTTCGATCTTTCAATTTTTAGAATTTATAATTATCCGACTTTTCATTTTTGTCGGATTCTGGATATTTCTTTTTTTTATGTTTCAGTTTCACAGTTCTTCAGATATTACTATTTTTTTTGTCGATTTCTGGATTTTCCATTCTTCTTTTATTTTTTGCAAATTTACAATTTTTGACGTTTATTTGTTTGGTTTCTATTTTTTTTTTCAGTTGTTCGTTAATTTATTTTCCATTTTTCGATTTTTCTTTTGTCAATTTTTCATTTTTGCATGTTTTCCGGTTTTTTATTGTTCAATTTCTAGTTAATCAGTTTCTTTATTTTCAATTTTTCTTTCTTTTTTTTTTTAATTTTTCAAGAATAGAATTCTTCGATTTTACAATTATCTGATTTAAATTTTTTTTGTTCCCGAATATTTTATTTTTCGAGTTTTAGTTAAATTTCAATTTCTCGATTTTCAGTTTTTTAATTTATCGATTTGTCAACTCAATTCTTCATTTTTCAGATTTTCGATCTTTGAGTTTTATATTTTTGCAATTCTCCGATTTTACAATAATCCAATTTGAATTTTTTTTTAATTTCTGGATTTTTCGACTTTTACTTACTTTTTAGTTAATTTTCAATTTCTAAATCTTCAGTGTTTCTTTTTTTTTAATTTATACAATTTTTCGAATTTTCACTTAATCGATTTTTGACTCTTCAGTTTTTCGATTTTTCAGTTTTAGAATTTTTAACTTTTCGATAGTACCATTATCCGATTTTTTTTTTTTCAGTTTCACGATATTTAATCTTTCAAGTTTAGGTTTTCTAATTATTCGATTTTACAATTGTCCGATTTAACTTTTTTTTTGGTGTAAAATTTTCTATTTTACAATTTTCCCTTTTTCCGATGAATCCAATTTTGAATTTGATTTATGGTTAATTTTCAGTCTCGCAATTTCTAATTTTTCAATATATAGATTTGCCAATTTCTTGTTTCTTCAGTTTTTCGCTCTTTCAACTTTACAGTTTTGCAATTTTTCGACTTTACAATTATCCGATTCTTCAATTTTTTCGGTTTCAGGATTTTAATTTTTTTTAAATTTTCAGTTTTTCATTTTTTCGATTTTACAATTGTCCCGTTTTTTTACGGTTTCCGGATTTTCCGTTTTTCATTTTTCAAAATTTAGTTAATTTTCAAGTTCTCGGTTTTTGTTTTTTTTAGTTTTTGAATTGTTTTTTTCATTTTTCAATTGTTAGTAGTCAATTTTCAATTTCTCAATTTTGCATTTTTCTTTTGTTAATGTTTCAATATTACAATTTTTCCGTTTTCTTATTAATCCATTTTGAAACTTATGATTTGTCAATTTTCTTTGGTTTCTTGCTTTTCCATTTTTTAACTTTTTGATTTTTAGTTAGCTTTTCTTCAATTTTTTTTTCGGTTTGTGGACTTTTCGTTTACTTTTTCAGTTTTACAGTTCTTCTGATTTTACATTTATCCGATTTTTCATTTTTTTTTCTTAATTTCTGGATTTTGGTTTTTAATTTTTAGTTAAATTTCAATTTCTCGATTGTCCAGTTTCCTTCTTTCAATTTTATAATTTTTCTATTTTTTTGGGTTTCTAATTTTTCCATTTTTCTATTTTTCCTTTAGTTTTTCGATTTTTCAATTTTACCGTTTTGCAATTTTTCGATTTTGTAATTATCCGATTCTTCAATTTTTTTTCGATTTCTGGATTTTTCTTTTTTACTCTTTCAGTTCTATAGTTCTTCTAATTTTAGAATTATCCGATTTTTCATTTTTGTTTTCGATTTCTGGATTGTCCATTTTCCTTTTTTTAATTTTATAATTTTTCGAATTTTTGGAGGTTTCATTTTTTTTTTCGTTTTTCAATTATTAGTTAATTTTCAATTTCTCGATTTTGCTTTTTTCTTTTGTTAATTTTGTAATTCCACATTTTTTGTTCGGTTTGTGGTTTTTTAATTTTTAAATTTTAAGTCAATTTACCGTTTTTAGATTATTAATTTTTCATTATTACAGTTCTTGGATTTTTCATGTTTTTTGTGGTTTCTGACTATTTCATTATTCAATTTTTCGATTTTCAATAAAATTTCATGATTTTCAATTTTTCCATTAACGGATTTGTGAACTTTTTGATTCTTCAGTTTTTCGATTTTACAATTATCCGATTCTTCAATTTTTTTTTCGATTCTGGATTTTTCTTTTTTTACTCTTTCAGTTCTACAGTTCTTCTTTTTTTTGAAATTTTCCGATTTTTCATTTTTGTTTTCGATTTCTGGATTGTCCATTTCCCTTTTTTTAATTTTATAATTTTTCGACTTTTTGGGGGTTTCTATTTTTTTTTATTTTTCAATTATTAGTTGATTTTCAATTTCTCGATTTTGCTTTTTTCTTTTGTTAATTTTGTAATTCCACATTTTTTGTTCGGTTTGTGGTTTTTTATTTTTCAATTTTTAGTTAATTTACCGTTTCTAGATTTCCAATTTTTCATTATTACAATTCTTTGATTTTTCATCTTTTTTTTTGTTTCTGACTATTTCATTTTTCAGTCTTTCGATTTTCAATAAAATTTTATGATTTTCAATTTTTCAATTAACGGATTTGTGAACTTTTTGATTTTTCAGTTGTTGGATTTTACAATTATCCGATTCTTCAATTTTTTTTCGATTTCTGGATTTTTCTTTTTTTACTTTTTCAGTTCTACAGTTCATCTAGTTTTAGAATTATCCGATTTTTCATTTTTTTTTTTTGGATTTCTGGATTGTCCATTTTCCTTTTCTTAATTTTATAATTTTTCGATTTTTTGGGGGTTTCTATTTTTTTTTTCATTTTCCAATTATTAGTTAATTTTCAATTTCTCGATTTTGCTTTTTTCTTTAGTTAATTTTGTAATTCCACATTTTTTGTTCGGTTTGTGGTTTTTTATTTTTCAATTTTTAGTTAATTTTCCCTTTCTAGATTTCCAATTTTTCATTATTACAATTCTTTGATTGTTCATCTTTTTTTTGTTTCTGACTATTTCACTTTTCGGTCTTTCGATTTTCAATTTTTCAATTAACGGATTTGTGAACTTTTTGATTCTTCAGTTTTTGGATTTTACAATTATCCGATTCTTCAATTTTTTTTCGATTTCTGGATTTTTCTTTTTTTACTTTTTCAGTTCTACAGTACTTCTAGTTTTAGAATTATCCGATTTTTCATTTTTTTTTTGGATTTCTGGATTGTCCATTTTCCTTTTTTTAATTTTATAAGTTTTCGATTTTTTGGGGGTTTCTATTTTTTTTTTCATTTTTCAATTATTAGTTAATTTTCAATTTCTCGATTTTGCTTTTTTCTTTTGTTAATTTTGTAATTCCACATTTTTTGTTCGGTTTGTGGTTTTTTATTTTTCAATTTTAAGTTAATTTTCCGTTTCTTTCAATTATTTTTCATTATTACAGTTCTTGGATTTTTCATGTTTTTTTGTTGTTTCTACTATTTCATTTTTCAATTTTTCGATTTTCAATAAAATTTCAAGTATTCAATTTTTCAATTAACGGATTTGTGAACTTTTTGATTCTTCAGTTTTTCGATTTTACAATTATCCGATTCTTCAATTTTTTCGGTTTCTGGGTTTTTTTTTTGTTAATTTTTCAGTTCTACACTTTTTCGATTTTATAATTGTCCGGTTTGTATTTTTTCTGGATTTTCCGTTTTTTAATTTTCCGATGTTTAGTTAATTTTCAAGTTCTTGATTCTTCATTTTTTTTTCAGTTTTTGATTTTTTTTTTTTTAATTTTTAATTGCTAGTAGTCAATTTTCAATTTCCCAATTTTTCCGTTTTCCTATCAATCCATTTTTGAACTTATGATTTGTCCCTTTTTTTTGGTTTTGTGTTTTTCCATTTTTAACTTTCCTTTTTTTTAAATTTAATTAATTTCTGATTTTGCAATTCATTAGTATTGGAATTTATGGATTTGATTCAGTTCTACAATTTTCCTATTTCCGATTTTTCAATTTTTAAATTTCACTACTTTTCTATTTTTCTAAATATGCATTCTATTTTTTGATTAATGGATTTTTGAACCCAATTTTTTAAATTTTGCAATTTTTAATTTTTCAATTTTTGGATTTTGCGTTTTTCAAAATTTAGTTTTGCAATTTTTCCAGTTTTCAACTGTTGTCTAAATATTTCAACAGAAAATAAATTTATAAAAAATAGAAATTTCTAAAAGTGGTGGTGGTTGTTTTCTTCGAAAAATAAAAAATGAAAAATCGACAAACGAGAAATTAAAAAATTCAAAATTGAAAAATGGAATAATCGAAAAGAACGAAGGAATATTTAAAAATTCAAAAATTGGTCCCTACTAGAAAAAAAGCTCAGATCGGACAATATAAAAAAAAAACACAAAAGCTATTATTTTGTCATTGGTCGACAAAGGGAACCGAAAGCCCCAAAACCTCACCTCCTCGGCCGCCTTCTGTAATTCCGGATCTATAGCGTTATTAGGTACCGACTGAACGACAGGTGCTTTAGGACTAGCTTTAGCGGGTTCTTCTTGACTTTCGTTCTGTTCGACTGGCATCTCGAACACGCACTTCAGCTTCGAGTCCATCAGCTGTTCGGGTCCGATTTCCTTCCATAGCTGTTCGAGATTTACGTCTCCGTCCGGTGCGAATAACGTCTGTACCATAAATTTGTGTTTGTTCTTTTCTGCCGGGTCGAACAAAAACGGCTGCAGACTTACTAGAACATGGACGAACATCGATTAATTATTCATAAGTCGTCCGCCCCATACTTACTTGCTATCTCTATCGAAGTGTTGGGTTCTAGGAGGCCCGAGTTCGGGCGTACGCAGTACTTTTTTGGCGCTGTCGTTTTGATTTTGAATAGGACTTTTTTGTCTGACGGGTTCGTGAGCTTCATGTACGAGGTCACCGGAGCGTTGAAGGGCCCTGGAACAGATCCAGATGCTGTTAGGTGGATATCTGGGAAAATAATATATTAACGATGCTTCGACGAGTCGGTTTTTATGTTTTGTTTGGACGTTTTATGACAAAAATATACGAAGGTTTTGCGGTCGTTTCGGGTTCGAATTTGACGTCATGGCGAAAATTAACGGTTTGGTTAATGGGTTTTTTATTTTTACGCATTCGGGTTTGCAGATTTTGTACGCACGGTTTACATGGAGGTGTCTGAAAAATGAGGAAGACCTGTGGAGCGCAGTGGAGAGATGAATTTTTCAGGTGGTGGCTGCACACAGGTTTCAGCGAGATTAAGCTGACCTATATAGAGTGTCATTCGTTAATTTTTCACCGGCGCCACAGTAAGATTTAATCGGAATATCAATAACTTGTTTCCGGCTTTTTTAGAGAGACACTTTTCAACACTTCACAACTGTTACATTTGTGCGTGGGTGTGGGTAAAAATATATTTTTCGAAATGTGCACTGAAGTGAATTTTATTGAAGAACTTACCAGTGGCGTAAATAACACCCCTGAAGCTTTTTTGACTTGAACTTTGCAATTTTTCATTTTTTTATTGCTTCTTCAGCTTTTCGATTTGCAATTTTTCGATTTGAGTTTCTCAGGTTTTCAATTTTTCGTTTTTAATTTTTTCAATTTTTCGACTTCTCAATGTTTCGGTTTTATAATTTTTAAATTTATACCTTTTTTATTACATTTTGATTTGTTAATTATTCATTTCATCAAATTTTCGTTTTGCAATTTTTGGATTTCTCAATTTTTCATATTTTTTTTTGTTTCTTGAATTTTACGATATCCATTCGAGTTTCTATTTTTCAATTTTTCGGTTTTTCAATCTTTTGATTTTATATTTTTTCTTTTTTTCACAGTAAAATTTTTCTAATTTGATTTGCAATTTTTCTAGTTTTCATTTTAAATATGTATCTAATAATAATAATTATAATTAAAAAAAAAATCACTTTTTCAATTTTATTATTTTATTAGAATTTTTTTTATTGGATTTGAAAACTTTTTCGTTTATTCTATTTTTCAAATATTCAATTTTTTCCATTGCAATTTTTCGTTTCGGTTTTATATTTTCGATTTGGAATTTTCCAATTTTTCATTTTTTTGTTCTTTCAATTTTAATAGTTTTCATTTTAGTTATGTATGTAGTAATAATTACAATTTTTTAGTTTTTCAATTTTATGATTTTAGCATTTTACCATTTTTCAATTATTGGATTTTAAAACTTTTTCATTTATTCAATTTTTAGATTTTGCAATTTTTCGTTTCGGTTATTTATTTTTATTATTTTTCAATGCTTCGATTTTATAATTTTTTGTATTCTCAATTTTTAGTTTTTTCTATTTTTCGATTTCAGATTCTTTAATTTTCAATTTTTCAATTTTTCCAGTTTTCATTTTAAATTATGTATCTAATAATAATTATAATTTAAAAATTTTTTCACTTTTTCAATTTTATGATTTTATTAGAATTTTATCATTAATTATTGGATTTAAAACTTTTTCATTTATTCTATTTTTCAAATATTCATTGATTTTTCGATTTCTTCAAATTTTCGATTTTCCAATGTTCCGTTTTCATAATTTTTCATTTCTTCAAATTTTCGACGAAATTTTCTGGTTTTTCAATTTCATTTTTTTTAATTTTTCGTTTCTTCAATTTTCGATTTGTAATTGATCTAGTTTTCATTTTAAATACGTATGTAATAATAATTTTAATTAAAAAAAAAAAAAAAAATCGATTTTCAATTTTGAATTGTTTTATTTTTTATTTTTACAATTTTTCGATTTAAAAATGCTGGGGTGTTTAATTTTGAATTTTTCCTTTCGGTTTTTTATTTTCTGTATTTTTACAACTGTTTCTTTCTTCAATTTTTCGATTCGCAATTTTTCAATTTCTCATTTTTTGTTTCTTGAAATTTGCGATATCCATTTTTATTTTAAAATACATATTTCAGTTTTTCGATTTTCCAACTTTCAGATGTTTCGATTTTCTTAATTTTTTTTTCAATTTTTCGTTTTTTCAATGTTCTGATTTTATAGTTTTTCTTTTCTTCAGCGTAAAATTTGTCATTCTTTAATTTGGAATTTTTGGTTGTCAATGTTCCGATTTTCTAACTTTCTGATTTAATTTTTTATTTTTCAGATTCTCGATTTTTCAATTTTTCGTTTCTCCATTTTTCGATTTGAACATTTTCTAGTTTTCATTTTAAATGTGTATCTACTATCTAATAATAGTTACAATTTTTGGATTCGAAAACTTTTCATTTATTCGATTTTTCAATTATTCAATCTTTAGATTTTGCAAATTTTTAGTTTCAGTTTTTTATTTTCTTTATTTTTCAATGGTTCTATTTTATAATTTTTTCTATTGTCAATTTTCCGTTTCTTCGATTTTTCGATTTGCGTTTGTCTAATTTTTCATTTCGTCAATTTTTAAATTGCAAATTTTTCTAGTATTTATTTTAAATACGTATGTAATAATTATAATTTTTTAAAAAATTAAGTTTTTCAATTTTACGATTTTTTTCATTTTACCATTTTTCAATTATTGATTTTTGAAACTTTTTCGTTTATTCGATTTTTCAATTTTTCGTTTCGGTTTTTATTTTCTTTATTCTTTCAATTATTCGACGTTTCGATTTTACAGTTTTTTGTATTTTCAGTTTTAATGTTCGTCAAATTTTCGACTTTTCAATGTTTCGAGTTTAAATATGTACATAATAATAATTGTAATTTAAAAAGAATTCAGTTTTTCAATTTTATGATTTTGGCATTTTTACCATTTTTAAATTTTTCGTTTCGTTGTTTTTCTTTATTTTTTCAATTATTCGATGTTTCGATTTTATAGTTTTTTGTATTGTCAATTTTAATTATCGGCAAATTTTCGTTATTTTTGTTTCACGATTTTTTAATTTTTCATTTCTTCAAATTTTCAATGTCCCGAGTTCATAAATTTCTAGTTTTTCAGTTTAATTTTTTTTTATTTTTCCTTTCTTCAATTTTCGATTTGTATTTTTTCTAGTTTTCATTTTAAATACGTATGTAATAATTATAATTTTTAAAAATTGTTGGTTTTTCAATTTTGAATTTTTCGTTTCGGTTGTTTTATTTTTACAGATTTTCGATTTTTCAATGTTCCGATTTTATCATTTTTTCCTTTTTCAATTTTAATTTTTTTAATTTTTCGTTTCTTCAATTTTCAGATTTGCAATTTTTCTATTTCCCATTTTTTTTTTATTTCTTGAATTTTGTGATATCGATCTCTTCAAGTTTTTATTTCAAAATTTTTCAGTTTTTGATTTTCCAACTTTCAGATGTTTCGACTTTTAGATTTTGCAAATTTTCGATTCGCAATTTTTGGTTCTGGTTTCTTATTTTCTTTATTTTTTTCAATTTTTCGTTTTTTTAATGTTCTGATTTTATTTTTCTTTTTTTTAGCGTAAAATTTGTCTTTTTTTAATTTGCAATTTTTCGTTTTTCAATGTTTCGATTTTCTAACTTTCTGATTTAATTTTGCATTTTTCGAATTGATTCTCAATTTTAGGATTTTAAAATTTTACCATTTTTCAATAATTGGATTTGAAAACTTTTCACTTATCGATTTTTCAATTATTCATTGTTTAGATTTTGCAAATTTTTTGATTTGCAATTTTTCGTTTCAGCTTTTTATTTTCCTTATTTTTCAATGGTTCTATTTTATAATTTTTTGTATTCTCAATTTTCCGTTTCTTCAACTTTTCGATTTGCGATTGTCCAATTTTTCATTTCTTCAATTTTTCTAGTTTTCATTTTAGATATATGTACGTAATAATTTTTAAAAAATTCAGTTTTTCAATTTTATGATTTTTTCATTTTACCATTTTTCAATTATTGATTTTTGAAACTTTTTTGTTTATTCGATTTCTCAATTTTTCGTTTCGTTTTTTATTCTCTTTATTGTTTCAATTATTCGACGTTTCGATTTTATAGTTTTTTGTATTTTCAGTTTTAATTCTCGTCAAATTTTCGACTTTTCAATGTTCCGAGTTCATAATTTTCTGGTTTTTCAATTTCCATTTTTTTAATTTTTCGTTTCGTCAATTTTCGATTTGTAATGTTTCTAGTTTTCATTTTAAATACGTATGCAATAATTTTAATTTAAAACGTTTTTGGTTTTTCAATGTTGCGATTCTTCAATTTTTCGATTTGCAGTTTTTCGAGTTTTCAATTTTTCGTTTCGGTTGTTTTATTTTTACAATTTTTCGTTTCAGTTTTTTATTTTCCTTATTTTTCAATGTTTCGATTTTATAATTTTTTTATTCTCAATTTTTCGTTTCTTCGATTTTTTAGTTTTTCATTTTAAATATGTACATAATAATAATTATAATTAAAAAAAAATAATAGTTTTTCAATTTTATGATTTTGGCATTTTACCATTTTTCAATTTTTAGATTTTGTATTTTTCGATTTAAATTTCTCGACTTTTTGATTTTAAAATTTTTCGATTCGCAATTTTTCCTTTCGGTTTCTATTTTTTTTATTGTTTCAATTATTCGATGTTTCGATTTTATAACTTCTTGTATTCTCAATTTTTTCTTACTTCTATTTTTCGATTTGCGATTCTTAAATTTTTTATTTCTTTAAATTTTCGTCTTTTCAATGTTTCGAGTTCATAATTTTCTGGCTTTTCAATTTCAGTTTTTTTAATTTTTCGTTTCTTCAATTTTCGATTTGTAATGTTTCTAGTTTTCATTTTAAATACGCAAGCAATAATTTTAATTTAAAAAATTTTTGGTTTTTCAATTTTACGATTTTTCAATTTTTCGATTTGCAGTTTTTCGAGTTTTCAACTTTTCGTTTCGGTTGTTTTATTTTTTTATTTTTACAATTTTTCGATTTACAATTTTTCGTTTCAGTTTTTTATTTTCCTTATTTTTCAATGTTTCGATTTTATTTTTTTTTATTCTCAATTTTTCGTTTCTTCGATTTTTTAGTTTTTATTTTAAATATGTACAT